AGCAGGGAGCCTGATGTGGGACTTGATCCCGGGACTCCAGGATCATGACCTGAGCCGAAGGCAGTCACTTAACCAACTGAGCCACCCAGGCGCCCAACAGGGTTTTTTTTTTTTAATGCTTCTTTGCAGTGTCAGGAAGAATGAGCATGCTTTCCTCACTGGCAGTTAGAAGAAACCACAGTATGAAGACTACTGGAAATCCATTCTTTCTTTAACACTTGGAGAAAATAAAAAACAAAAAACTCTGACAATCTCAAAACTCAAAAGAAGAAAGGCAAAATTACTAACAAATGGAATATAGGGCTTATAGTGTTTTGTGTCCATACCTATTTGTAAATTTTTAAGCTGAATTTTAGTCTTTTTTACATTTGAAACAAAAAGTGTTCACCAAAAGCAAGTAAATCTAGCAGAACTTATGGAAATGGTAACCATCTCAACTATGGAAGACATTTATGAGACTGTAAAATAATACTAAACATCTCGTCTAATCACATACAACAGTATGTATTTCAAATCTATTAAATTGCTTTCCGGTACTTTTCAAGAGAGTACATTGTACTTTGCCTTGAATTTAAGAAAAAAATAGTTTCCTGTGGAGCCTGGGGGGTTCAGTCGTTGGGCATCTGCCTTCGGCTCAGGTCATGATCCCAGGGTCCTGGGATCGAGCCCCCGCATCAGGCTCCCTGCTCAGTGTGAAGCCCGCTTCTCCCTCTCCCACTCCCCCTGCTTGTGTTCCTGCTCTCGCTGTCTCTCTCTCTCTGTCAAATAAATAAATCTTAAAAAGAAAGAAAAAATACAGTTTCCTGTATAGTACATAATTTTGATTTTGTAAATCTGTAATATTAAAGGTCAAACTCTCAGGGGAGTGGGAGATCCAGGCTTCCAGCTAAAGGATAAGTCACGGGGATGAAAGGCACAGCATAGGGAATATAGTCAGTGGTGTGATAGCATTGTATGGTGACTGATGATAGCCATGCTTGTGGTGAGCAGAGCATAATGTATAGAGTTGTCAAATCATTATGCTGTGCACATGAAACCAATGCCACATTGTGTGTCAGCTATATTTCAGTTAAAAAACAAAAGTGTGGGGCACCTGGGTGGCTCAGTTGGTTAGGCATCTGCCTTCGGCTCAGGTGGTGATCCCAGAGTCCTGCGATCAAGCCCTGCATCGGGCTCCCTGCTCAGCCGGAAGCCTGCTTCTTCCTCTCCCTCTCCCTGCCACTCCCCCTGCTTGTGCTCTCTCTGACAAATAAATAAAATATTAAAAAAAAAAAAAAGTGCTCTACCACCAAAAATAAATTTTTTTCAAAAATCCTTGGAAGTCCAGCAACTTAAGGTTTAAAACCCAATTAGTCAAATCTACTCTTCTCTCTAAATTCACTCAAAATATAGCCCCAAATAGCAAACTTTGTTAGGTTCTAATAGC